CTCAGGACCACAAGACTTGCCTTGTGGTTGAGTCGGGATTAAATGAGACAGTGAAAACAGAAAGCACACGCAGTAAGGGACAGACCCTCCCACCACCACATACACTGCACACAGGTAACACTGCTGGCTTCAAAACAAACGTTTTCATGAGTACCTACATTAGCTGGAACAAAACTAAGAAAAAATCAGACCAGGAGTGAGTGACAACCGCAATGCCAGCTTCCACCTTGAGGCATTTGCTAAAATGATCTTCTTGAGTTCCTGCTTTACTATCTCATGGGGCTGGCCAAAGATGAGGAAGCCAATAGGAAACTTCTCCCGTGAAGTTGGGGCCCCAAAAGGCTAAACCCTCGGCATGAGGCTACACCAGAAGAGAAATCCTCTCCTCCCTCTTCAGGACACCACGAGGAGAACGGTCTCAACCTTGGAGCTAATGGAAGAGAGAGAACCTGAGAAGTTGGAAGCAAAAGCTGGCTCTCCCAGGAAGACTTGCAGACTGGATTCGCAACAGCTGAAAACTTACTTAGCAGATAGAGCCAAAAATTGACTTCCTGGCTTAAAATCCTCTGTAGGTACCTCCACAGCATGGCATACAAGCTCCTCTGGACCCCAGCCCAGACTCCTGTACAGCCAGCCTCAGAGTTGTCTCTGACGTCACGTAACCTTGCCCCACCGCACACATGCCCAGCTCTGATCATGCATCTCCACACTACTGCTCAAGCTCTCCCTTCCTCCGGAATGCCCTCTGGTGCGCTCTCCATCTCACTATCTACTTTCATACGGATAATTACTATGCAATGGAACCTTGGCTCAGGAATTTTATGCTGGATCAACTTACATAAGGCTATACATTTCCTAGAACTAGTACTCAGTGTCTTTGTCTATTCGGGTTGCTATCACAAAATACCACAAACCAGGTAGCTTATAAACAACACATATTTGTTTCTCACAGTTCTGGAGTGTGGGAAGTCCATGATCAGGGTGCCACTAGACTCAGTGTCTGATGAAGGCCTGCTCCTCACAGAGGTGCCTTTTCGCTATGTCCTCATATGGTGGAAGGGGAAAATTCCCTCTGACCTCTTTTAGGGCATTAATCCCATTCACAATGGCCCTGCCTTTACCATCTAATCACTTCCCAAAGATCCCACAGCTTAATACCATCACCCTGGGGCTAGGTTCCAAATCTGAAGGTTGTGAGGAACACAAGCATGCACCATAGCACTCTGAATTTCTCCTGTGCTGTTTTCTTCTCCTTAGCAATGCATACTAAGCAATTGTGTCTGGCTGAGTAGCCAAATCTAATAAACCCCTTAACATGGTAATTCTTAGCCCTTAAACATTTTTTTTTTTTTTTTGGAGAGATTTTCGCTAACGGGGGGGGTTCCCCCCAGACAGACAGAGAGAGACATAGAGACAGAAAGCGCGAAATCATCCCCAGGAGGGATGGTCACGCTGCAACCCTTTCTCCTCCATTCTCCTCTCGGGATCTTGGGCATGCACGCACACACGCCCGGCGTGAGTTTTAAGCCACCGGGTCTGGGATGCGAACCGCGGTCAACTATGTGGGAGTCCAGCGACACAGCCATTATGCTAACTGCTGGTTCCCAGCCCTTAAACTTTTTGAGAGCATTCTCTTACAGTTTTGTGCCAGAATTGGCCACAAAAGGGATGTCCACAGACTTAGAAGGTGGAAGGGAAGCAGCGGCCATGGTGCTCTATGTTGATGAGAGGCTCCAGACATGACTATAGTTCACACATGTGCTTGCCAAGATCCCAGGGTGCAGGGGCCACAGCCAGACCTGCAGTTCCTCCACCTCACGCCAATCTCCTCCTTAGCACTTCCGAGTCCTGAGTGAGGCCAGCGTGTGGCTCTGACCTCGCGACACCAGCTTCTCTGACAGGTCAGCTGTGAGTAGGTACCTGCTGGTCTGGTTTCCCCAGTTCCTTTTAAAAAAAGAATTATGTATTTAATTTTTATTTACTCATTCATTGATTTTAACTTAACTAGAGAGAGAGCCAGAGAGAGAAAGGGACAGTGACTTGAACTGTGGTGGGCCATGTGGGAATATCCAGCGCCTTCCTTAACCGCCATGCCACCTGCTGGCCCCCTGCTTTCCCCACTTTACATCAGTGTTTCTTCCTCACTACCCACCCTGCTGCCCTACAGCGATGTCAGGCCAACGACCAGACCCAGAGGAAGTCCTTCTACAGACCTCTTCACCAGCTCGCTGTCGTGTCCTGACTCAAGACTTTTCTCTGACCATCCCTCCCACCCCCATCCAGGCCTTTCCTTCCCCAGCCTCTCCCATAGTCGAGGAAGGTCTAATCTCTGTAACAGATCCCTCAGAGAGGTCCTGACAGACCTCAACCCAGTACACCCAGTTAGCTGCCAGTGCAACAAACATTTATCCTTCCCTTTCCAGCTAAACCATGGATATTTGCCCTCCTCTATCTGATCTTGGCTGCCAAGGAGGTAAGCCCAGGAAGTATGAGGGGAGCCATGATTGGCCTAGCCCACATACGATAATTCCATTGTCCTTGCCAGGGATTGGCTGACAGTAGTCATATGAAACGATTCTGGCCATGAAGACACGAAGAGAGCCTTTCAGGTGCTTCTGATGATGTTTTCCTCACCTTAAAAGGACATCTCGAACTGTTTGAGAGCTTGGAATTACTATGCTAAGGGATTATTAGATTTAGCCACTCAACCAGACACCACTACTTAGCATGCATTGCTAATTTAGGAAAAGAAAAAAGGCACAGGAGGAATTTAGGGTACTACGGTGAAGGTCTGTGTCGCTCACGACATTCCGATCTTAGAACCTAGCCCAGGGTGATGTATTAGGTGTGTGTCGTCCTTAGATGCGATTAACTCATAAATGCAGAGTGGTTATGAATGGGGTCAGGGCCCTTATAAAAGAGGCTGGAGGGAGTTCGCCCGTTCTACCATGTGAGGACGTCGTAAAAAAGCACCTCTGTGAGGAGCAGGCCTTCATCAGACACTGAGTCTGCTGACACCTTGATCTTGGACTTCCCAGACTCCAGAACTGTGAGAAATAAATATTTGTTTGCCGGGAGCTGTACCCCAGCCGGGGAGGGTGCACAGGAAGGCGACAAGGGTGAACAGGAATCAGACTAAGACCTCATGCCCTTTAGCATGTTCTCAGCCGGCTACAGCCAGAGTAAACTCCCGACTGCAGCCCTGCTGGCCAGGAGTCATGCGTATTTATTATAGGAGTTTTACAAGTGTAGGATGGATAAGTGAAAGATTTTACTCTAAGAGGTAAAGCATTTAAAGTATAGGAACAATAATCATAAAACATGACATCTGTTTTGTTTAGGTATAAACAGTCATAATTTTTAGAACGAGGAAGTCCATTTTTCGGGTGCATCTTCTTCTTAGATCTTGATTACCAGGGAGGGTCTTTGGATGAGAGGGTTTCCAGGAATTTTCAGTCCCAGACCAACTTGATTACTTTAGTCCCAGATTGGCTTGAGAATTTTGA